AAGGGCCGACAAAGGGGTCCAGGGCGCAGCCCGGCAAGCTGTTGGCCCAGCGAAGCAGGTGGATGAGCGAAGCGAAACCGCCGTCGCGTAGCGCCGGGTCAAAAAGCTTGTACTGCTTAATTTTGGTTGTCTTTGATCTTAAAATATTAGGTCATGGTAAAGGCGTCTCGTTGATTTATCATACGGAAGAATTTCAGTACAGTATACACAACAAAAGCTAACAGATGTAAGATTCAGGATAAAACATGCAAATTCTCAGATTACGAGGCCCAATTATTTACTCAGGCAGCATGACTACCGGGGCTCCGGTTCAAGACTTACATTTGCAAATACCCGCATCTTGTCTTCTAGAGTCGGTGAAAAAACATGCCCGCTCTTCTAAATATTTTGGGTCTTCTCGTGCATATGGAATGGGTGACTAAATTTGAACCAATGTTGATTCCATCACACACCAACTCGGCGCTTGTTGGCACAATCGGATTCGAAGTACATCGTTTTTATCAACTTTTCCCTGAAATCCGTTGAAAATTCGTCGCGCACTTATAATAAAAATGGTTGCCAATACGCTAGTAGTCCTAAAAACAAACGTAATTTTCGTCACTAAAAATACATCAAAAGGTCGACATTAAATATTGTACATGCAACGGCAAAGCCTAGTTGCGAAGCAAACAGCGCTAACTGTCATCGATATTTGCAGTGTCGATATTTTCACCAGTACCCAAACGTTCGATGAGTTGGTCGATCTTCGCTTTATGTATTCGATGATGTTCTTGCCAGCCTTTCCAAGGGTGATGCGGATGCTGAAAAGAACAGGTTTCTGTGTTAGGTATAAAGCTCGGCAGGACAGACGCTCACCAATCGTCCAAATGCTTGGAAAACCTTATCGGAAGTCCCATCTGGTTTATTATAAAAATATTTCGCAAGCAAGACGTCATCTCCTTTGCTGTATCGTAGTTTCTTGTCAGGGGGTGGAGGTAGGGGTTCATCTCCGGCTTCCCAATCCAATTCGTGTTTATGTCGACGCCAGAACTTCATCCAGGATGCGCGAGAGTGATGAGGTGCTTTTTGAGCAACATCTCGCCAGAAGGCGACAACATCCCAGTTTCCTCGGGCTCTGTGAAAAATGCAAAGTTTAGCTACGCAAAGTGTATAGAGAATTTTTTTACTGACTTCCGATAAGTCATCAATTTCATCAAGAAGGTAACATCTTCCTGGGTAAACGCTACCCCTTTTCCGGTCGTACTCCGGAATAAGGATCGTGGTGGGGAAGGCGAGCGTGTTCTATGACCCATATTTTGTGCAGCTGACTTTGCAGCTGGGAAATCTAGACGGCCACCTGCATGACTTGAACCCTCTGGACGGACTGGAGGTGGGGGTGGCAGTAATGCTGATTGGGTCGGTGCGGGTACGTCCCCGGCCCCATCGACATCCATGGTCATATCTTCCTCAGGTTCATCCGCCGAATCGGGTGCATCGTTGTTCATCGTGTATCCACCAAGTTTGATCTGATGCTTGTTGCAGTATCTTCTCCAGGAGTAAAATCTACAGTGCAAAAATGAGAGAGAAACAGAATAAAGGGAACGAAAACGAACGTATGATGAGGAGCCTGAACAAAGAGTCAGACTAGGGTTGTACACAGTAATAGAGGGAGCTACCTTCACGGCGATTCTCTCGCAGATTTCTCTCAAGCTAGAAATCGATATAGGTAAGATTTTGTTGGACAAGAACTCAGAAAACCTACCTGAGAACCAAACACTGGTCCTGACAGTAGTCGATGTACTTCTTCAGGTATTCCACATCATCTGATGTGAAAAGATTTCCTCCATATGTGCTCTTGATGACCCTCGTTGGAGGAGTCGGCGAACGAGCTGGCGGATTACGACTAACAACAAGTGCTGATGCAGGCGTTGCAGGTGGAGGCTACGAGCAAAGAATATCAAATTAAAGTTAAAGAACATTTCAGGGAAGACGCTGACCTGAGTACGAGTTCGTTTGCGACCTCGCGGCTTTTCAGGCTCGGGTTCTGCAATTTGTTCCGGTTGTGGCTCAGCAATCGGTTGTGATTGTTGCGTATCAACATTCTCAGGTTGAGTTGGCTGCTCTGGAGGCGCGTGCTGTCCTATAAACGGCGGCTGAGGGAACTGGGGATACTGGTGATAAATGATTCAGTATCACCCTTAATTAGATAGTAAGTGGTTATACCTCATAATACGGTGCCGTCGGTACCCAGCCATTTTCTCGGTATCGTTGATAGTCATATGGTACCGGTACCGGTTGGCCAGACATGTCCACTGGTTGACGATATCCTTCCCATCCTGGAGTAAATGATTGTTCCGGAGTTTGCTGACTTGGTTGAGGAGGTGGAGGAGGTATGACTTGCGAGGGTGACGTTGCGCCTGGAAGAGGTTGCCCAGGTGGCAATATCGCCCACGTCCCTGCAGGACCATTTGGCGGATGTCCGGGCATAGGTGGATAAAAGTAATACAAGCCACCGATCTGCGGAACTTGCGCCATTTGAGGCTGAGGCAGTGGTTGCTGGGGAGCTTCTTGGATTGTAGCATCTGGTTCGGGTATAGGTGGTTCAGGTTCTTGCACAGGGGGTTGTTGAGCAGGAGGGTGAACACTACATTGGCGAATGTCAGCTTTTATAGGGCATCAGTGGCAATTCGAACGTACGCTTCTGTGCCTGTTACTTTGCATCCTCCCCAATTGGTAGCGTAAGTTTGCAATTGGTTCGCTTTAATGCATTCTTGAACCCATCGGGCGTCCAATACGACTTTGCCATCCTTTCCAGCATATTGCCGGTGAAGGTTCTGGCCTGATGCTTTGTGCGGGTCAACTAGGTGCTCATGTCAGAACCACAACGACAAAGACGCCAGTCACAACCAACCAAGAATATAGGGAACGCGACTATACCCAGGACACACGTTACCCCCATGTTTCTGTAACTTTTTTAACTGTTTTTGTTGACAATAAAGATCTCATGGCTTACAACGATGAGCTGCGATAGTAGT